GATGATTACCCAGCAGATAATTGTTTTGATGGTAGCCATGTCCTTTCTCAACCTTTGTGTTTTAAACTCAACAAATGTGGCTGTTTCAGAGACAGACTCAAGTTCCTCTGAATGCTTTGGGCTGTCTGTAATGAGCCAACTCAGATGTGGATCTGCTGATCCATATTCATAGAGAACAAGGTTGAAAAGAGCAGTGAGAGGTCCCCCAGGCCACCCTGTACCCACAGCCACGCTGGCACAGTTGTGCTGCACCTCAGCCCTGCTCAGGTCAGCACGTGGTGTTCTTGCTGCATGATCTGCTGAAGCAAGGACCAAAGCCCCTCCTTTGGATTTTGGTTTTCTGTCCCAGCAGCATCTGCTGATAACAGACCCAGTTCCAAATCCCAGGATTTCCCTTTGCACAGTGACTTCCGTCTCAGGTTGATTTCTTACTTAGAACCAGGCTGAATCTGTTGCTCTGTTTTCTGTGCATGCCGGGTTTACAGTTCCTCTCAAGATGGATTATCCATGTGCTCAGGCATCCATCCAGCCCCTGCAGGGACTGGATATCGCTGTGAATTAACAGTTGTTCAGTACTGCAGCCTGCACTGATGTGGCAACCTGCCTTAAAACCAGAAGCAAGGGAAGTCTCCTGGAAAGTGCCAGCTGGCTACTCCTGGTTCCTTTTGGCACAAACAGATGAAAGATCTGCTTCTTTAGAAACCTCCTAGCAAAGATTGCTTTCTGGAGGGAAGTTGGGGTAAGACATTACTACCTCAGGGGGAGGCTACACAGCAGCAAAAATAACCTTCCAGTTCAGAAAATTCAGCTTGGAGAAACAGAAGGCAGTACAATCAGTGGCAATAAAATAATAATGAAATATTTCAAAATAAATCCCCATTTTTAAGGCCTCTAATCTGAAAGATGTGTAAATGGTATTTATTGTATGCAGGGGAGTTGCAGATCATTCACTAAAGGCATTGATGAAACAATTAAAGATCACTATTGAGGCATTATAGAACTGGAAGAGATCTGCCTTGGGTGGAATGTCATTTATGTGTTTCACCAAATTTATTAGGTTTTTATAGGGCCAAGAGAGAGAGATTGCAATGTTGTCTCTTGGGTCAGATGAGATTATATGGCACTGTACTCTAAATAGTTTATTACTCCCTGAACCATTGCAGTGTGTGTTTTGAGTCCTGCAGGAAAAGTACAAGCAGATAACTTGGAAACCTTCATCAGACAAAATCCAGAATCCAGTGGCTGTCAGACAGATCCTGACCAAGAACCACACGTTTTTTCAATAACAGAGATTTTGGACAGCAGGCTGAGATGGGACTTCACTGCACTTCACAGCCTTGCAGAGGGGGTTGGTTACAGTGTCAGGGGAGGCTGGTTTTGTGTGAGGTAAGTCAGAGTCTGAGACACCTTCCCAACCAGACATTCCCTTCTGTCTAGTGAAAGTCCTGATCATGCTGGAGTCAGCCCCACCACCCGTTTGTGGTCCCGCCTTACGCGCTGCCTCACCCCTTACAGTTGTCACCCCACACAGCTTGAACAACTACTGCTCATGGACCACAGAGAACAGCCTGTTTCTGCTCCCTCCTGACCCTGCTCAGCAAAATCTCTCAGCCAAATTCCTCCACAGTGCTGCTGTGTGTCTCACTGCTTCCCATCACTCCCCTTTCCAGGGAAGACTGTAGAACCATCCTTGTTCACAGCAGGGAAGAGCTGCCTCACTCTTGCCCTTCTGCCTTCTCCGCTCACAACTTCTAGATCTTCCTCACCGGGTTTGTCACCACATTTCCTGTCACACAGATTTCCTGGGGGTCACTCATTCTGGGCAGATGTGGCACAGAGGGCTTGGCAGTGTTAGATTTACTGTTGGACTCCATCTTAAAGGCCTTTTCCAACAGAAATGTTTCTGTGATTCCTCTTGGTACAACAAGAGGATCCCAATCACCATCCATAGACATTTTCCTAAGATTGCCGTTTTCAGGGGAATTAAGAGGGAAATGCTTTTCCTTTCTACTTACTGCCAGTCCTTTAATTTACTATAAATATCATTTGAGCATCCTTATGGCTAAGGATGCAAAGTTTGTCTTTGGAAAAGGAAATGCAGGTAACATTTCCGTGTATTGGAGGAGATGGACTTATTTCTAGGAAAGGAGAAAAATTAAATTTTCTGGATCTTGAAAATTCTGAGGTGGTAGAAATAAAAAAAAGCTTTAAGCAAACAGGGTAACTATGAAGAATGAACTACATCTTAAGACAACTCCCTTTCTGGAGCTGAAACTAAAATAGACCAACAGCAGAAAACACTGTGTAGAATTTAAATAATAGAAGTCATCTGCCCCTCTTGTAAAAGCTGGTCTCCCCTGCTTGCTCCTACAAACTTCCCGTGTGCCACCAGCTGCACTCCTGACCCCATGAGACTCACACCAAGCAGCAGGGTCTTCATCTCCTTGGAATCACCAGGAACACTTCAGCAGTGTCCCATGGGAATGTGCACTACTGTACTCTGGCTTTCTGTATACATTTCATATGCACAAGTAGGTGCTTTCAGTTGTATATTTGTTGCATTGTTTTGAGATCCTTTTTTTCAGCAATGTAGAATATAATGGGAGGTAACTGGAATTGTTTATAACCTTCAATGCCCAAAGCAGTTGAGACTCCCATATGGCTCAGCTGAGTTTGTTAATTGTCAGTTTGCTTTAATGTAATGATTCAGAAACTTAATCTGTTGTTGAAATATTTATTCTGCTGTTGTTATTTGGTTTTATTAATAAGAAACTATTCAAGGTTAAAAAATGTGTATGTTTTATATTTTATATACACATGCAATCTATTTACGCATATATATTTTATTTGTATCTAAATAGATAAGCAATGATAAGCAATTACATTAATAAGGCCATCACATAATAATGTAACAGTAGTAGCTGGGCAGCTCCCCCAGCCTTGTGTGCAAGTGGTCACATGCAGGGTCAGGACAGTGGGTGATTCTCCTCAGCACTCAAAGGGAGCTGAGGCAGTGCATTACTGGATTTCCTTTCCAGGGCCTTGGCATTGCCCGTTGCTGACATAAAGACCAGTCGGATTCTCTTTGGTTTGAACACAACTGATCTCTTTGGAAATAGTGCCCTGGTACATTGTTTAGTTGACAGACAGGTGGCCAGTAAACGTGTGCAGTCCTAAAGAGGACTTGATTTGAGCCTTGTCTTAAGGCTTGAAAAGCAGGTGAGTAACTTTTCCAAGTTGTTTTCTGTCTTTGGTGCAAAGCATCTTGGCATTTGGGGCAGACTGTAATGGGAGCCAGAGGAACCCTTTCATGGCTCTTGCCAGGTGACAAGGAGGGTGACCCTGCACACAGAGTGTGCCCTCATCCAGCCACACTGCAGTGCTGTTTTCCTTGTTTGTCTGCTTAGATTTGGACTCCAAGTTAAATATGCTGAAAGTGCCCTACCAGAAGTACATCCACACAGGTATTTCCTGATGTAGTGAAGGTTCCATGCCTGAACTAGAACCTGTGTCTGTACGGCTGGAAGGTTTGGTGGCACTGAGAGTATCAATTATGCATGATTGAAATGAAGTGTATTTTAGCAGCAGATAGCTGAAAAACCTCGCAATGTACTCCTAATTCAGCGGCATTGCCTTGAGCTACTCTGAGGCCTCTTTTTTAAACTCAGACATTAGCACAAAGCACACCTCTGACTGCAGGCATTTAAAGATCAACAAGGGCCGAAAAAGCTTTTAAGATCCAATGAAACCAGGAAAACAACCACGTTGCCTTTCAGTGTCAGGTTAGATTGCCTTCTTATGAGTGCAGCTATTTCAGGTACAGAGTGCTTGGTGGTTTGGGTCTTGTTGTGTGAGGAAAGTGTTCCCCAGAAAACATCTGTTTCTTTCACCTGCAAACCGCAATGTGCTGTGATGAGGCAGGACTGTAGCCACAGAGACCCAGGGGGACGAAGGAAATCTGGCTCAAAGGGATGAGCATGGGTTTCTGAAACATGGTATCAAAAAGAGCACTTAAAAGGAGAGAATGCTTTTAGAGCGCAGATACACCGCAAATTGGGCAGGTCAGGTTCCTTGTAAGCTTGACATTCTCCTGGACTGCTGATGCTGTTTGCCTTCTGCTCAGAACTGCAACAAGAGGAGTTTGTTATTTGCTTTTTCCACAACAGTAAAATGTTCTGCTTTTCTGTAAAATAACACAAAATCCCAGTTTCATCTGCAGCATCTAAAATCTGTACATGCAATAGGGCTTCTGTGGTCACGTCATCGTTTGTAACTTGCTGTTACTGAAGTACAACTGTAGCTCTTGTGTATGTACTACACCCTTGATTTGTACAATTCTTTTTAGTAGATTAGAATGTAATGTTAACATTATGCTGTATATTTTGTATATATGTGTTATATACACCAAAATAACTCTCCATTCACTCAAAATGAAAAAAAAAGACTTTATCTTAGAAGTAGAGAATTACACATTAAAATGGTACATGGTGCCTCCCTTTCTGAGGTGTCACCATGGGGAAGGAGGTAACTCGGAGGTGTAAATGTACAGCAGGAGTGGGTCTGTCTGTGCCAGTGCCCTTGGGTCAGGATAAATACCAGGTTTCTCCGTGTGCCCTGTGCAGGAGGGGAGGGCCCTGCTGCCCAGGGAAAGGCCAGTGTTACACTTGTCTTTACAACAGCGAGGGGCTGGGCCTGGGGAAGTGGTCAGCCCCGTGCCAGTCTCTGGAAAGACCACGGAGCCCATTTCCTTTGAACCCAGAATGCCTCATTCCCAGTGTGGTGCCGTAAAGAACTGTGACAAATGATAGTCCAACCCTATGTTGGCTTGTAGCCACAGCATAGACGGGATGGGGGCTTTAGTGCATTGAGGTCTTGTGGCCTAAGACACAGAGCAGGTGGTGCTCTGGGTGTGCAGGGCAGAGGAGAGCCTTCCATGGGATGCAGTTCAACCATTTAATGACACAAACTGTCTTCTAACAGCTGCCTTTTTATCCTTTCAGAGGATGACATGAATAATTACATCAGTCGATACTACAACGAGCCCAGCACTGGTAAGTTTTGCTTGAAAACAAAAACATGAACTCTGTGTTTGCATTGCACTGTGTGCTGTAAGCCAGGAGAGACTGAGCAGGGATGTAGATCTGTCCTGGAAAGGAAACCCACCATAGAGTCTCTTGGTTTGCTCCATGGAAGTGTGTGTCAGCAGTTCTCTGAAGGTTGAAGGGCCCCAAGTTTGCTCCTGCTGAAGGCACTCAGAATAGTTTGGAGATCTGGGAGAGGTTAATTCCCCCTAAGCCAGGCTGTCCAACCCCCAGAGCAGTTCAAATGGACCCAAGAATGAAAAGCATGGACAAAATAAATGAAGAGAAAAGCAGTGGGGAGGCAGCTTAGCCCAGCACCATGCTGGGAACCTTTCAGAAAGGTTAAACTGAATGGTAAGAAACCTCAGCAGCCAGTGACCCCAGGGCAGCCTTCAAATGGATGTCCCCTGGCAGGAGTCCCGCAGGCACAGGGGTGCACGCTCCCCTTATGTACCTAAAATGTTGTACATATATTAGAAAATGTTTGTCTTTAAGTATAGTGTGTTAAAAATGTATATCTCCATATACACATCCCCATATATACATGGGGTTATAGGGGAAAAAAAAAAGATACATGTACATATATACAAGTGTGTATTTATATATATATATATACACACACATATGAGTGTGTGTATATATATGATTATAATGTGTTATTATGTGTTTATCTCATATGTTCATCCATATATATATTATGCATACAGTGAAATATAGGCATATATAGATATCTATAGATATATCTATATAGAGATATCTATATAAGGATGTGTCTTTGTATATATGTGTTATATATAAAATGTGTGTATATGTGTATGCATATAAATCTATAATGTATTATATATATATCCCATATAGGCACACAAACCTGGATACACATACATATATAAAGATGTATGTAAATATATATATGTGTGTGTGTGTGTGAGATGTATCAGGTACATGTCTCCAAACACACACAACACATACAAACATACACGTGTATATGTGAGCAGATTTATATACATATATATGTAGGTGTGCCTTTTCTATATAGATCAAGATACACATATATATATCTTTACACAGATAAAGATGTGTGAGAGGCTGTGTCTGTGTACATACACAGATATTTTATTAAACTCTCTATATTAGATATATAAAATACATAAAGATCTATGTAAAGGAGTGAGAGGTTTGAGAGGAGAGATGGTCTGAATATGTGTGTATATAATTACAGAAATAAAAATGTGTATCTACGTATAATGTATTATATATTTCTATTCCCATGTACACATCCACACCCATGGAGACAGATGTAGTTGTGTATGTAACTGAAACATAAATAGAAGCGTGTGGCTGTAAACAGGGATGGCATCCAGGAGCCAAACCTCCTGGAATTCATCAGGGCCAGGCAATCCCAAGCACAGGCACAGGCTGGGGGCTGAAGGGATCGAGAGCAGCCTGAGCACAAGGACAAGGACCTGGCGGTGTCAGGGGTGAGCAGCTTGATGTGACCTGGCCATGCCCCTGCTCTGCTCAGGTGAGACCCCCCTGCAGAGCTGCCTCCAGCTCTGGGGCCCCACAGCACAAGGACGTGGAGCTGCTGGAGCGAGTCCAGAGGAGGCCACGGAGCTGCTCCAAGGGCTGGAGCCCCTCTGCTCTGGAGCCAGGCTGGGAGAGCTGGCAGGGTGGGGAGGCCCTGGCACGGGCTGCCCCATTTCTGGAAGTGCCCAAGGCCAGGGTGGATGGGGCTTGGAGCAGCCTGGTGTAGTGGAAGGTGTCCCTGCCCTTCCAGGGGGGACTGAGATGATCCTGAAGGTGCCTCTGTGATATCTGTATATTGTGTATATGTGTAGATACATCCCCACGCTGATATACATGGGGAGATACAGATGCTTGCTAAAGAGACCTTCCTATAGCTATTTACAGACTAAGCTATGTGTATATGAGTATGGCTGCATATGTTTCTATATATTTAAAGATCTCTAAAGGTGTTTGTGCATGATTGTGTCTGTACATACATGAATGTGTGTGCATATGCAGCTGTAATGTATCATGTATCTATATGCACATACATACATGGATATATGTACTTATATATGTACATGGCTATGTGTGGATACATGTATTAGTCTATATAAAGATACATAAAGTGGGGGATGTGTGTATATATGTCTGTCCTATATATATGGGAATAAATACATATAGATATGTATGACAGAAACTGTATATACATATTTTAGATTTTATATATATATATATATAAAAGGTGTGTGACTATATACATGTATTTTTAATATGTATATTTTACCTATAGCATATCTGTAGGTGTATGTGTGTGCATATATCTTATTCTAGAACACAATTATATAGATATTTAGAAAGGTGTGAGACTGCATATACATGTCTTTGTAATCTGTATTATGTATATGGTATTATGGATATATTTTATATCTGAACTATGTGTGTATAAATAAAGCAGTTTATGTGTGTATATGCAGACAGATAAAAATGCAGATCAAGATCTGTGTGGACCTACATAGGTATTTTATATATGTATAAATATATGTAAAGAGATATATATGGGTAGGTATGTGAGAGCCTCTTTACGTACATATATAGTTTATATAAAAGAGAAAATACTTGAGTGTATATAGAGACATATAATACATAAAATGGGTGTACATACGTAGATATATTGTGAAGGGGAAACTTAGAGATGTTCCCTCTATAAATATGGATGTGTCTATAGGAAGTTGTGTATAGGATCTGTGTGTGTGTGAGAGAAGACCTCTGTATCCATACACATGTAAATGATACATACCTATTTAAAAAATGTACATGCATACACGTAGGAGGTATAAAGTATTGTCTTTATTTGTGTATCTCCCTCTATATACATCCCCAGTCTATACAGGACTATACATATAAAGATGTATGAATCTCTACATAGGTTTAGGTGTATGTATGGTTAAGAAAAGGAGGAAAAGGTTTGAGGGACCACGTCTGTGTACCTGTATACATAACACTATATGTGTGTGTGTTCTCATGCATCCCTATATATACATTCCACACCTATATACAGAGATACAGACATATAAATATGTAAGCATCATATATATACATGCATTATGTACCATATATGGGGCAAGTATATACCCAACTGTTCCCCCTAGCTATATGGATAAATGTATGTGTAAAGATTATGTATATATAAAAACAGGTCTGTGAGAGACACTGTATATATACCTATGTATATTACTTATATGTATGTATGTGTGTGTGTACATATATATATATATATATATATATAAACACACACAGGTATATGGTAATATTTATAGATGTATATGCCCATAATATACATGGAGGGACATTAAAAGGGGGGTACATATAATTTTATATGTCTAACAGGTGTTGTGTAATGTGGATGTGGCTGTGCTTAAGTATAATGTATTATATATGTAGATTTCTATATATGCATTCCCTGTGTATGTATGCACACACACATATATATATTTCTACATAAAGTATATGGGGGGTTGTATTCTAGTTAAAGACAAAAAAATTTATGTATTTAAGGGGAGTATTATATTTATCAAACATCCATATGTACATGTGTGCACACATTGTTTATAGATATATGTTGTATTATATATGGTATATTGCTGTATATACATCCCCATAGTAAACTTGGCTATATGTAAGATGGTGTATGTATACAATTTAAAAGATGTATAAAGGTTGGAGGTGTCATATATAATGTGTTATTTACAATATGCAATGTTATTTGATACACATTATTTATGTATATTCCTGTATATACATTCCAGATTCACATATACAGACCATAATATGTAAATATTTATACACAAAGATAAGTGTACCTGTGTATAGGTGTATATACTCTATTTATAAAGAGTGATAATTATGTTTTCAAAGGGGGAGGATGACAACTATGTACTCTCTCTCTCTCTCTCTATATATATATACTATCTGTATGTATCTTTGTATAGGTCTAATGTACTACTTTAGTTGTATGTATACACATAGCAACAGCTCTTCCCACATCTATAGGGTTAAATCTATATATAAAAATTATGTGTATATAAAATAAGGTGGGCAAGAGACTGTGTATATAACTATTACACGTATGTGTGCACACACATGTATGTGTGTATATAGAGATGCATGTCCCTCTGTATACATCCCCATAATATACTTGGAAGGCTATAAAAATGTACATGTGTATGTGTGTGTGTGTGTATATATATATAAAATTTATATATATATATATATATATATATACACACACACACACACACATTTAAAGTCTGTAAAGAGGGGGTGTTCCTGTATAGGTACAATGTATTCTCTACATCCCTGTACATACATTCCCCAGCTATACACACACAATGAGAAATACATGTACTTATACATAAAGGTAAGTACAGGTGTGTGAGAGCATGTGTGTTCTATTTATAGGTAATTAAATGTATTTAAGGGGGGACCTTGTATTACATAGTCTGTCATATGTATATACACTGTGTTATATATGGGTCTTCTTAGAGATAAATCTATATATACGTATTACATATATATGTGTGTGTGACAGGAGACTATATAGACATACATACATTGTAGAAAACGTGCAGATGTATGTAGAGACAAAGGCAGGTTGGTATATGGCATTACTTATAGAGGTGTATATATTACAGAGCTATCTATGTTCATCCCCATTATAGAATGGTACTGGGTATAAAGACTATCCATACCCGTGTATGAACAGCTACATAAATGTAGCAGGACGTGTTCATGCATAGGTATAATCTGTTACATACATACAGATACAGTCCCATAAATACAGATACAGAGAAATATGAGGGTTGTGCAGATTTTTTTTAATGACAGGTGTCTTTCAACGGGGCACTACATATTGTGTGTATAATGTATACTATCTGGGGCTCACACAGACACAATTCCTCATGTCTGTATATAAAGATGATGATTATATAAAATTGGATGTGTGAGACACTGCATATATACACCTTTGTAGTGTATGTACTGTGTGTGTTCACATAGATATGCAGGTAAATGGCATTATGTACAGCTGTGTATCCCTGTAAAGACACCCCCAGCGTACAGATAAGGAGCCACACACACCTTTTATGTATCCATATGTGTGCATGCAAAATTTAAAAACTGTCTGCATATAGTGGGGGGTGTTCACATATAGGTATAATGTATATATATGTGTGTGTGTGTATGCCCCTATAGATACACACATATATATAAAGACAAGTAGGAGTGTGGGTGTGTTTGCATTCTGTTTTAACAGTAGCTAATTAAGAGTATTTAAAGGGAGGGGCTGTGGCCTATAAGTATTTATTGACTGACCGTGTACATATGCAGGTAGAATGCATTATAGATGTGTCTATATTATACATATATATTACACATCTATACATACCTGCCCTTTATCCATCTACATGATAAAACTAGAGATGTTTGTGTGTGACCTATACACACACATATATAGGTATACAGTATTAGTTGTAGCTGTGTATCCCTCTACATCTGTTCCCCCTATATACAAACTACATTTTCTACAGAAAAAGGGTGCCTTTGTGTTACTGTTCCCTTTGAGACAGACAGGCAGTGCTGTGTGTTATAGGGGGACTCTGTGCTATAGTGTGTGTGTCCCACATGCCTTTGTGCACACAGCTGCAGTGTACCGCAGGTATATACACACCTCTGTAGGCACTACACAGGCATGTCCCGCCCCCGGTCTGAGTGTGTGCTCTGTTCCCTGCAGACAGCGGTGTCCCCGAGGCCGCCATCTGCGTGGTCACCACGGCCGCCATCGACGTGCACCGGCCCAACATCTCCTCGGAGCTGTTCACGGTGGAGGTGCCGCTGCGCCTGGGCAGCACCGGGACCTCGGCCAGCATCACGTCGGGCAGCGCCTCGCGCTCCACCGTCAGCTCGGGCACCCAGGCCTGCAGCGAGAGCAGCCACACGCTGGGCTCCTCCCCGGACTGCAGCACGGCCTGCGAGGAGCCCGCCCAGGCGGCCCCGGCGCCCGCCCGGCAGCGGGTGGCCCACGCCGTGGTGCAGGAGCTGCTCTCGTCCCTGTCGGAAGAGGCGTGTCTGGCGCAGAAGGGGCTGGATCCCGTCAACCTGAAGCTGCCCAGCCCCGCGGGCTCGGTGGGGGCCAGCCCCGACCTGGGCCACCGGCTCAGCGTCTACAACCGCAGGAACCAGGAGAGCCTCGACGTCTTCCAGCTCAAGCCACTCATCGACTGCCCACCGAGCGCCCCGATGATTGAGGAGAAATATGGAGCGCTGGGGCCCCCAGAGCCACGGCTGGGCAGGGTTCCCGAGGCATAGGGACAGCCGGGGGGAATGGGGACTCCTGCGGGGACACGCTCACCGCGCTGGGTCACGAGGCTGCCACGGGTGACGTGGCAGCGCCGAAGGCAACCTGTGGCATCTCCTGAATGGCCACCAGGGCGAGGCCAGTGCCACCTCTGCTCACCAGCGGCCATGGCGCATGATCCACCTGCCCTGCCACCAGCTCTGGGCCAGCTGGGACCTACGGTGACTGTCTGGGCACAAAAGACCTTCCAGCAGACTCGGGCTGACATGGACCCACAGTGCCTGGGGGGGCAAACAGGCTATGCCTGGGAACACCATGGAACTTCCACCAGTCCAGGGCCAGCACAGCCCCACAGACAGAGCTGCTGGACAGCCTGGGCCCAGCCTGGCCCCCCGGCCTGACCCTACCCAGGGGCTGAGCATGGCTGGGAGGGGTGTGGAGATGGGAATAAATACTGACAAACCCATGCTGCCTCCTGCCTTGTATCCCTCTTCCATTCCTTTTCCATTCTTCCCTTCCTTTCTTCTCTTACCTGCCTTCCCTGTCTTCCTTTCTTACACCCCACACTCCATGTGCCATCCAACTGACCATCAAAAAAAAAAAACAAAAACAAAAACCCAAAAAAACCCCACAAAACCCCAACACCAGTGACCCCACCTCTTTCCAGTACAATCCTTTATTTGTCCTTACTCCACAGTACAGGGTCCATCACCAGCAGTCACTTCTTCTTCAGGAGCTCCGTCATCTCTGGCACCGCCTGCAAACACCAGTGCCAGGGTAGTGCATCTTCCCCCTGTGACCCCCCCAAACTCACCCTGGGCAGTACCAAACCCCAGAGTTACACTCCCCACCCACCACACCACTCCAGGGGCTGTGGGTCACCCCAGCTCACAGCACTCCCCACTTCTCTCCTGCTGAATAAAGCCTCTTAATTATTTAAGAGAGCTACATTTCCATTAGGTGGAAATAATGCATTCGTACAAAATTTATTAAGGAAATTGTCTACATGGTGTTTCTTCAGAATGTGACTTTGTGGCTCACAAAGAGGCCCGTGCTCACTGTGGAGCCAGCAGGCAGCATTTCAGGAATGGCATTAAGTGCTGGCACAGGCTCTGCCCGTGCCCCGCCGGTCACACGTGTGGCCACGCACACGGAGTCACACATGTGAGCTGCAGGCACTTGGACAGGGGCTGGCTCATGGCTCCCTGTTCCAGAGGGAACTGCAAGCTCCTCCTGGGCATCAGGCAGTGAGGCAGCAAACCCAGGCAGCAATAAGCACTCTCCTGCCAACTCTCTGCTTTCAAACTTTCTGAAGCTTAAAAACAGAGGCAAGCGCCTCTGTGCAGTTATTTCCAAAGTGGTTCATATTCAGGAAACCGGAATCAAGGCAGGCTGGCAGTGACACCCCTGCCCCCCAACACGCTTCCACTTGCAGGGATTGAATTTTGAGTGTGCAAATAACAAATTTAGAAAACAAATTCTTTAACAACAACCAAAGCAAACACACACAGACATCGTTAACACTCATTAGATTATATTATGCAAGCTACTGTCCGCTCTCCCAAAGTCATCCTGCACATCAAGTTTAGCCTCACCTGAAATAAGTCTGCCACCAGTCCATAATCTGCCACTTGGAAAATTGGAGCTTCTGGATCCTTGTTAATAGCAACAATGGTCTGCAAGCAAAGGTAAAGCACCATGTGAATGTATATATTGATTAATATCTGGGGCTGGATTACAGTGCCATGTCTTATCCAGGAAACACGGGCTTTAGTCTTTCCTAGCCCCCAGAAGCAGAAGATATGGATCAGAGCATTTAACATTTTTCCTTTCCATCTCAAAAACAAAGACCCCACCACCACACCCCAAAAAAACAACGCTCCCTTCCCTGCTCATCTTGGCTCTCCTTCCCTGTTGAAAAGCCTAGAAAAAAAATTACTACAAAGGATTATCTGTGCATTCTAAACCATTCCATTGCAGAACTAACTCAAAGGGCAGCAGTTGCAACAAGCACAAAGGCTTCTGTACTTACTATAGGACATAGCATTTAGTTTGTCAGACCATAGAAAATGGCATGTGACAAATCCCAGCACAGTGATCCAGAAAGTGTCTTGATTTAAACTGTGCCATACAAATAAATCATCCTGTAACTGTCTGTGACAGCTTTCAGCAAAATAAGCATGTCCACATCAAAATCTACAACAGGATGGGGAACACTTCATAAAGGAAGGGAAAAGAATCTTAAACAAAACCCAGCAGCTCATAGAAGGAGCCTTACACCAAGCAGGGCCCAAACCACAGCACTCTGGTCCTGCCTGCCCACCTAAACACTGACTCGAGGCACCAACCCCCCCACCCGGGACAGGTCCAACCCAACAGGCAGCTGAGGAGCTCACGGGCCACGCCCAGAGAGCAGCACTTCACCTGTCACTGTTTTACTCCTCCACTGAAAGTACTTGTCCAGCAAAATCACTGCCTCAGTAGATAGGTGTACTGGCAGGAAAGTTTACAAATCCTTGATTCCAGGCCCACAGAACTGTTGTTTCTTCACAGGTGGCTGTACCCTGTAAGGGACCCCATCCTACCTGGCAGCAGGCAGTGCCCACAGCAGCGCTGCCCCTGCCCAGCTCGTGGCCGAGGCCCTGCAGGTCCTGCAGCAACGCTGCCCTTCAGGGTTTGTCCCACAGCTGATTGTTTTTATTTCAGTGACCGTTTGCAAATGCAAACCTCCCCTGACAAGCTGCAGTGCAGGAAGCAAATCCAGGCTGTGATCCCCGAGGATTCTGTCAGTCAAGACTCTTCTCTGACCCTACTGAGGCCCTGCCATGTCTTGCAGAACCACCTACAGGGGCCAGTGCTGAGGGCTGGCCGAGGCCAGCAGTCAGTGCCACCACAGGAGCTGCCAGCTCTGCTCCTGGCACAACACCCATTGCTTGCAAACCTACCTGAAGCTTTAGTTGGGCATCCTGGGCCTTCCTCTGCCTCCTTTAGCTGAAGCAACTTTTTAGTAAGATTTGGTTCCCTACCTCATTACTAACTCATAAGCAGCAAGTGCATCACCTTGCTCACAACAGAAGTTTGTGAGTTAAATCTCTCAGAAAGAACAGATACAGTAACTGTCTCCTGAGGGAATTGGAAATAAGGAAAGAAAGCACCAACGATTCTCCAGGTCTCCTCAAAAGCTGCATTTCCTACCTTGCTGTAAAGAACAAATAAATTATACATTTCACTTGGTAGAAAGCATCTGACTGCTTTGGAAAATGTATCCTGAAGTGTACAAGTTCACAATGCCAGATAATTCAGAGTGCTGAGGGAGGATGGGGGACACTCCAGAGCTCCCAGGCTGCATAATGCTTTGTTTGTGAAAACTGGATCTTTTCCATAACTACTCCATCTATATCCTTCAGCTAAAAGGAAGGCAGAATGCATTCCAAACACAAGTAACTAAATCTGAATTTTAAAACACATTTGTTTATGAGATATGGGAGAAATGAAAGTGTTAAGTATGCATCTCATATCAGCAAATTTAATCTGTTCTTATTTCCTATAAGAAAACATCTCAAAATATCAAACATGGCATTGGAAAAGCCAAAAAAACCTGGTTTTGCTGTTACAGTTGAGGACAATATTACTGCTCAATATATATCAAAGGAAATTCTGGCACTTCAAGAAAGAAGTTCCCAGTGTTGCTGGCAGTCTGAACTGAGATAAGACAGGACAGAAACACAAACAGGGGCAGAACAAGTCTGAAGCAGCTTTAAATACTCAGTTCTCAGCTGCTCCTCATCCCACCTGCCCATGCCCTCGCTCAGCAGGAGCACAGCTGGAGACTGAGCAGCTGGAGACAAAGCCCCTGGTGGTGCTGTGGCCTGAGGTGCCGTGGCAGCGCTGCCCTCGGACCCCGCTCGTCCCGTTCCTGCTCTGAGAGCAGGACACAGCACAGCCACCCTGCCCTGCTGAGAGCACAGACACTGTCACCCACACCCTCAGAGCACCCTCCTCCCTGCCCAGCAGTCACCATCACAGTTCCACCTTTGGTGGGTCCACCTGAGTCTCTGCTCCTACAAGGCTGAGGCCCCAAATGCAGCTTACTTGACTTTCCCTCCAAAATATTTCAGTAATACATGGCAAAAAAAATTTTAGGAAAGCAGAGATCATCCTACCACACAGGCTGGTTTGTGAGGACAGTTATCAGTCACAAACTCACTGGTCTGTCACTGGTTGAACACAAGAAACCACCTGCAAAGTTTTGCAACCCTTTTCCTCAGCTTTATAAGCTAATCAAAGTTCTGGCTTGGCTAATTTCATTCACTGGAAATAGAAAAACAAATTATATCCTCTTTTTAAAATTCCTGTGGGGAGGCAGGACAACCTCCAGTTTTTGATGTCTGACATTGGATAGTATAAATCAGCAGGTAACTCTGCTCCTCTTTCCAAACACTGCACTGTAGACCAAACTGGCAAGTCCAATTTTGGATTATTTGCTTTGGCAAGTAATGAGTTAAACCTTTTAAAGTTTTACTGCCATTTTATAATAGGTTTCCATTTGAATGGCTAAATGCAGGAATGTCAGAGACATCTTTTACTTTATGGAATACTAAGTTCATAATTCAAATTGCACATTGTTATGCATGAATTAATATGTCATACTCTGGAATAAAGGCAAATGGAACTATTGTATAGAATTCAGGCATACGTGGTTTGGGTTGGGGTTTTTTTAAACAAAGTCAATTAGCTGCTTCAACTTATCACTTTGGGTTGTAGTCCAAATGTTTTCCTACTGTGTGAGATGTTTTGCCACAGTATATTTTTTTCTGTCCAAGTGTGTTTTAAAGCAGCAGAGAAATGGGCAATTTTAACATTAAAAAAAGTTGGAAAACCATCTTGATGCAAAAGCAAGGAAGTCAACTCATTTCCTTCCTCAAAAATCTCTTCTAGCACATCCACCTTTATTTACCTTGCTGTCTTTCATTCCAGCCAAGTGTTGGATTGCTCCAGATATTCCCACGGCAATATAAAGTTCCTAGAAGGAAACAAGAGAGGCATTTTTGGTACCCACAACACAGTTTCAGTAACCCCTCACACACCCTACTCAGAATCTGTCACGTGCAGCAGTTTTTACATTAATTTCAATACTGAAGGCAGCTGACAACTGGTTCCCTTCCTGACCTGGGGATGCAACGTAACTACAAAAGGAGAATCCCAAAGGAGCATCTGGCAAAGACACACGAGAGAAAAAACAAATTTAAGAAGTCTGCCTGAAAACCATCCAGCACTGCTCAGCAGGGGACAGGGCAGTGTTACCCTGGAGATTCCCAAAGCAAGTGTTAAGGTAACCTCCAAATGGATAATGCAGGGCCTGAAGAGCAAACCAAGGCTTTTGTCTGGAGCCTCTCAGAGCCTTTCACTAAGACAGAACATACAATTCAGGTGTTTACACCTTTAAAAGGTGAAAAGGGCAGGATAAAACATTTCAGATGCCAAAGTGGGCTGGTGCATTATACACTTGTAGGTTCTGTTCTTTACCCCAACCTTCCACGACCACGTGCCCTGAAACTTTTCTTCCCCCAGGCACTCCCCACTCCCACACAGGACGAGCACAGAAGTGTTCCCAGGTACACCAACAGCTTCACACCTCAGGGCTCCCAGTTCACATCCAGAGTCTTACATTCAAAACAGATTAAAATGTACAGGCACATAGACCTGTACTGACTGGGTTAGTCACAGCACAAAGGTATTACTTCCCCTCATGCTGAAAACCATCCATTCTGTAATCTATCCAAAACCAAGAGTATTGGAGTTCCCTGACAGTTTTCCCACCACCACCAGTGCAGGCAGCAGTCACAGCTGTGCAGTTCAGCTAACTAATGGTACAGAAGAAAACCGAAGAAAGTACTTTTCACCAACTCATTCAATAACAGAAAACTCACACATGAAATTAATTAATGGCTCATCTGTCTGGACCAACTAAAAGGTGGTACTTCACACATGATTAGAAAAGACACAACCTCCAATAATAACAATTTCTCCTTTAAAAATACCAAGGTTAGTCCATATTTAAGAACATGCAAGTCCAATTCAAGAAATTATTCTGGGGGCCAGGGAGGGTAAGGGGGTCAAAAAAAAAAAAATCATCTTACTGCTGTGCAGCTGAAGGTGTGCATTGCAGTGAGGTGGCTTTAACATGGCAGAGCCAAGCACAGCTGGGGGACAGCACAGACCCACAGAGGGGGCTGCAAACCAAGGTGTTCCAGCACAGACCATGCAGGCCTGAGAGTCATTACAGCAATTAAAGAAAGAAAGATGATTGCTTGCTGATGTTTCTACAGCTACAGACTTCACCTGTTATTATTGGTTTTTCAAATAGGAATAGATAAATAAAAGCTATGACTTCTTCTATGCTTTAACACAAACACTCTCTCCTGTAAAAACCGAAAGGGAGGGAAAACAGAGCAGGAACAAAGTATTTCCTATTAAAAAGGCTTCCTTTGAAATTGAAACACAGAATTTAGTCCATGCATTTCCACAAAACCACACAGCTGTTGAACACACTCAAACTCCTCAGCCTCTGTAGGTTTTTACCGAGTGGATTAATATTGGAGGTCAATCCATTTTAACCACAGCTGCAAGGTAACATAATATGTCCATATAAGAACTCATGGTAAGAATGCAATATTTTAATTATACCAAATAAAAGAACAGATGTTACAGAAGAAATTATTCTAACATCATACTGTCTTTAATACAAGTTCTTTTTAAAGACACATTACTGTAATTTGATTTTTTTCAGAGCAATTCATTAAGTACCAGTCATCCAGACTACCAGATACTCTTATCAGTCTGCTTAACATTGTGAAGTTCAGCCTTTGGAAAGAATCCAGCTAACCAGGAGCCAGATGCCTATGAATATATTCTATTAAAGCATCTAGGAAAGACAAGGATGTTTCATTAAAAGGACATTTGTAAATCACCAGGCTTGTCTAAAAATCATTTATTATGCATCTAAGCCATGCCCTTCTAGGTTATGTGCCTCTGGCTCCCTGGTTCAGACAACTGGTCCCTTCTGTTGGCTCTAACACTGATGAGAGATCACCTCAGCAATGTTCTCAGGCAGATAACACAGGGACAGTTCTTATCAACAGTTTTGTGCTGTAAAGAGACTTGACTGCTTAAATACTAGTTCTAATCTACAGTTCAGCAGGAGGGACACAAAGGACCCACAAGGTCTGAATGATAAAGATTCAGGTCTGTTCAGTGTTCTCTGAGGAGCAAATTCAGAAAGTCATCCAGGGATGTCATAAAGGACTGAGAAATTCAAATTTCTAAGTTATTTTCAGAGTAATACCCTTGCTTTGATGTTTTCCCTGAAATCACTAACTTCTGTCAAGCCTTCTGCCGAGTCCTCTCATTCCTCCTTTGTTAGTGCTCACAGCCTGAGTCGGGACTGTGGCCCCAAGCAACATGGAGAGAGTGAGGGAGGGATGGAGGAAGCAGATGGGTCCCACAGAGCAGTGTCCCTTCCAACTGCACAGTGTGACACGTCTGCCATCACAGAGAGCACACGAGGTCTGGAAGGAGCCCTCAGTCCTTGAGAGCTCATCTGTGCAGGAGATGAGGCACAAACAGCACGAATCAGAGTCTGGAGCGCACCTCTCAGGGGCCAAACATGGCTTTACACCAACTTCAAGTTCCAGCTTTTTTGGAACCCTGGAAGCTGCTCTAATTACTGCTGTCAGGCAGCTGATCCACAGCCCACAGTTACAGGCACTTACATCTAAGTCTAGGACATGGAGTGGTGTTTCTCAGCTCCCTGGTGCTGTGCACAGGCAGGTTTTCACTGAAGGGCTGCTGCCAGCACTGTGCCACAGGAGAATGGGAAACAAAACAGCACAGAGGTTCCACACCAAGGGGCTCACTGCACTGCCTGATACACATGAACTTCCAAAAGCAACTGAAGTCAAGGAAAGAGAAAGTTTTGGTGGTATAAAGGGCATGGCATCAGGTTAGACAATTGCCTTGCCTTGCAGTAACTTCATTTCACACAGGAAATAATTGGTGTACATGTGTCACAGTCATGCCACAACTTTTTTATGAAGTGGCTGGCAGACATCAGCACAGGGGAAGGGACACCAGAGAAGAGAGCTGCCAGCAGGGAAGAGCACAGTGGAGTAACACAGCACAGGAAGCTGAATGGACCAAACAGCCCAGGAGCAGAGGGGAAGGAGGCACCAACACTCCAGATGTGCTGCTGCAGGAAGGGCTTGGCCAGCAGTGGGAAGATGTGGAGATGGGGGCACCAGCACCCATGAGGCTTCTCACAGTGACTACAGCAGCAGCCCAAGGTGATTATCCAGCAAACTGGCACAAAGGCCAGAAGTGCTTTAATTTGGCCACACGATATCCCACAGTGGCAGCCAGAACCCTGACAGAGACCTCCGAGTTTGTAAGCAGAGATTTGCATCCCAACCACCCTAAAAAGAAACACCACTCCAACTCCCAGATTTATCCTATTCAAAGACAAGATTCCAAGTCAAGAATCCAGCTTCTCTGTTGCTAGTTAAAGTATTCATCTAGCCTTACCATTGTCATTTTTGTTGAAAAACCGTGTGTCTTACAGAGTCATTGCACGCTAATCATTAAAATGAAAAAATCCTCCTCAGCCATTCCCTAAACTCTGTATCTGCTTCAAACATACCCAATTTACATATTGGCAGCTACTGCAAGTCCATGAGACTTCATGTGCAGCAATCTGCACTCCTGGCTCCAGAATCCATGCAGCCAGTTGGGATAAATGCACAAGAGAGCTATATGGGGATGATTATAATTACCAATCTACCAATGCAGTTATTTTCCTGTGCACACAGACTCTTCCAATTATTTATAGAATAATTCGTGGCATATGCTATTACTTCATTTATGCTTATTGAGAATATTTAAATATGCCTTAGGCTGTCTTGGGGCAGTTAAGGGACTCAAGAGAAGTACAAGAACAGTTTTTACTGCAACTCCCAGTGCCTTTGGAGGCTGCAGTGACAGAGCTCAGAGCAGCCACAGGTGCACCCCAAGCTGAGGCAGCTACTTTGCAAGCATGTCGTCAGCTCCTATTGATTTTTATGCCAATTTCTGAATTATGCTGAAAACCTTCAGCACACATCAATTTATCATCCTACCAGTGGCATGCTTTTAAACAGGCCAGTTTAATAAACCCCTCTGGCACACATACTCTTTTTAAAGGCAGCTCAGATATTTTATTTTCTTTGCAAGAGTGAAAGGACAATGAAATTAGAAAGAAATCTTTGTGACGAAAATTGCTTTGTACAAGAGATTCCTTCCAATTACAAGCTATTAACCCAATAAAATATTTTCTGCCTTGACACTGGTTCATCTGTATTACACTGTATATCAAACAATCCTCCAGTATGTACTGCTTGGATGCAGTTGTTCCATTCAAGAAGCACACATCACTAAACTGCAGCCCAACTAGAGTTTCTTTTTCACTTTAAGAACCTTTGATCAGCCAAGCTGTGTAATTACTCTTAAGCGTGGTTAGGGTGTCTGCTGGAGTGCAGGGCCATACAGCAATTTTTTTTTTCCTCTCTCCAGGGAAAAGCACATCAATTGCTTTCAGCTAAATGCACTCACATATGAATATTTTAGTACAATTTAATGTTTCTGCACCAACCCC